TGTCAATGGAGAGCCCATGCCCCCTATAGCAAAAATCTCTAAAAAAAAAAAAAAAATTCTAGAGGGACCAGCAGGTGGTGTGATGGTTAAGGTGCTGGACATACCCACATGGCTGACCATGGTTCAAGTCCCGGACTTGGTGGCTTGCTTTCTCACTTTCTCTCTATAGCTCTCTAGTGGAATTAAATAAATGAATGAATAAATAAATAAATAATTCTTTTTTAAAGATTCTAGAAAGAGAAATAAATAAATAAATAGTGGGGGACTGAGAGCACTCCCAGAGACAGAACCAGCAGAGACAATAGATGCCAGAGACAGAGACACCCCACACTGGTCTAGATGCCAAGCCCTCGCGGCTTCCCGAGCCCTACTTCCTACCAGGCTCAGGCTTGGGCTCCGGCTTCGGTGACTCTGCCCTGGTCCGGGTCTGGATCCGGGTCACTGCCTCCAGCTCTTGCAGGACGCGTGCACAGTCTCGGTGTCCCTGTTGCATGGCCAGGTCCAGCGGCCGGAGCCCGTCCTGCAGCGACGCAGTCAGCAGGGGGCGCCCGAGGCCCTCCTCCCTCTGTCCCTTCCCTCTGTCCCTCTGTCCCTGGGATCCGCGCGTGTTGGCCGGCACAGGGCTCCCCAACCTGGTCGCGCAGCGCGGGGTCCGCTCCTTGTCTGAGCAACAATTCCAGGCCGAGGCGACAGCCCCAGGCGGCGGCCACGTGCAGCGGCGTCAGTTCCTCGGCTGATCTGCAGCAGGAGCGCAGTGGTCAGCATGGACTCCGCCTCCAGGCAGGTACCCTGATTTCTGCTGTTGGACCCTCAGCCCTCGGCCCCCTAGCAACCGAGTTCCTGCACCCTGGAGCTGGAACCCGAACCTCTGCCGTCTGAACCTCGAGCTTCTACCCCCCAGATCGAATCTTGATGCCCACTCTGGTCTCCAGGGCACCCCCCTGTCCTGCCCTCGGTCTGAGACCCCAGCGCCTCCCTTGAGCCCTATCCCGCTCTCTTGGCTTCCAGTTTCCTCCCCCAGGATCCTCAAGCCCGGTTCTTGGACTGTGCAGTGTCCTGTCTCCAGAGACCCCCAGCTCACCGAGCATTGGGGTCCCCGCCTCCGCGCAGCAGGGCCCCGAGGCAACGGAGGCCCGGACGGGCGGTCAGAGGGGCCCCGGGGCCGCCGGCCGCCACCTTCCAGCCCTCCCAGCCCAGCCCGGGCCCCGCCCTCACCGCGGCTCCTCCTCCCGCAGCGCCTCCCGCAGCCTCCGCGCCAGCTCGGCCATCGCGCCCATGCCCCGGCGGCGGGACCCGGGCCCGGGCGATCTCCAACTTCCCGCGGCGCCCTGGTGCGCACGCGCCGCCCCGCCCCTCGGCTCGGGTGTCACCTCCGGGATTGGGCCGCGCAGGGTCCCCAGCCGGGGTGGCCCGCGCCGCACCCGCGTCCACATCGGAGTTGGGAAGCTTTAGTAAGTGTCCGCTCGGACCCGCGACACCGAGTGTCCCCAGACCTGATCCGATAAAGGACCAGGCGTGGGGATGCAGCAGGGACCTTATCGCACAGTGCAGAAATGCGACGCACCCCGCTGCAGGGCGTGGAGCTCGGATCGGGGACCTTGGGACAGTCCGTCTGAGCAGAGGTGGCCTCCATCACCGCACACAGCCCGGTCCGTCCTCAGTTTCCACGTCCTACCCCTACCCCAAACCTGGCGTCGCCCGTTTTCTCCTTTTTCTTTTAATTATTTTATTTAACTATAATTTATTTATTTAATTTGACCAGGGAGGGACAGAGAGAGAGAAAGGAGAAAGGAAATCGCCAGGTCCAAGACTTGTAGTGTCAGCCACATGGGAGTTGAGAGACCTTAGCTACCACGCCACCTGCAGGCACCTCTCTTTTTTTTTTTTTTTTTTTTTTTTTTGGGGGTTTGTTTTT